TGGCACATTTGATTTTAACTATATTTATTGTAATATCAGTAAGATGCTGTACAGAGGCTTATAATCCAGCCTGTGGATTTAAAATGATTTTTTTTTGCATGTTAACTCAACTAAGTTTTATAATTGTTATGATTATTTATGAGATGAAACAACATATTATAATGGTGTTTTTTTATTATAATACATTATGCATCCGTTATAATGCCTGAAGAATGCTCTTATAATGTATTAGAAATACGGTCTTCATAGAAAGTGTTACCAAATAATTTCCCATTCACACTGGAGGTGTTTTCGCGTGACAGTAGTTTGACTGTGTGCTTTTGACTGGAACCTGTTGTTCTGGTTTCTGCTGCTCATTCTTAGCATTTCAATAGCCATGGTGTGTGTGGGAAATATCCAGCAGATGAGTTAACCGTGCAACTGAATGGAAATAAAGGGATGGTTCACTCAAAAGGGGAAAGTGTTGACCTGTACGACATGAGGATGAGTACATGATGACAGAGGTTCATTGTCGGCTGAAGTAATCGTTAAATATGCATTATCCGATGGTACGAGAGAAGCAGAAGGGCAAACTGGTGCATAAAAAAACTGACCCTTATGACTGGTTTTGTGCTCCAGGGTCACAAATAATAACAACAATAATAATAAAAATAAAAAATAATATTTTTTCTTAAACTGCTGTAAGATCAGAGATCTGATCAGATGAGTGTGTAATATGGCACATTAGATTTTAACTATATTTATTGTAATATCAGTAAGATACTGTACAGAGGCTTATAATCCAGCCTGTGGATTTAAAATGATTTTTTTTTGCATGTTAACTCAACTAAGTTTTATAATTGTTATGATTATTTATGAGATGAAACAACATATTATAATGGTGTTTTTTTATTATAATACATTATGCATTCGTTATAATGCCTGAAGAATGCTCTTATAATGTATTAGAAATACGGTCTTCATAGAAAGTGTTACCAAATAATTTCCCATTCACACTGGAGGTGTTTTCGCGTGACAGTAGTTTGACTGTGTGCTTTTGACTGGAACCTGTTGTTCTGGTTTCTGCTGCTCATTCTTAGCATTTCAATAGCCATGGTGTGTGTGGGAAATATCCAGCAGATGAGTTAACCGTGCAACTGAATGGAAATAAAGGGATGGTTCACTCAAAAGGGGAAAGTGTTGACCTGTACGACATGAGGATGAGTACATGATGACAGAGGTTCATTGTCGGCTGAAGTAATCGTTAAATATGCATTATCCGATGGTACGAGAGAAGCAGAAGGGCAAACTGGTGCACTAAACCGTCACAACATCCTGTTATGCAGCTGGACGCTGCTGTACGGTTTGTGAACGCTTTCGCTTTTGCTGTGTAAACATACTCTCCATGTGATCGTTTGTGTAAATTGAGCCGCTGCTTGAGCTGTTGAACATTAGGAAGCTTTGCTGAAAGGAACTTTCTGTTTAGATGAAAAACAGCGAAGGCTGGAGAGCTCACTGTGTGTTGTGCATACTGTACGTTGCATTTCATGAATGAATTGAAGCTTAGAAGCGTACAGGAGAAACGTCTCCGTGTTGGGGCCAGTGTTTCTAGGGGAAGTGACCTCATTGACCACATCCAATCACAAGCGGAGACGATGAAATGGCCCACAAACCCAGATGCACTAAATAATGTATAGCTGTACTTTTTCCCGTTCACGGATCAGACCTAGTAGAAAGCTTCAGAGAGGGCGTTTCTCATGTGATCTGTGTTTGTCCTGGTTCTGTTGTGTGAGTCGCTCATGGCTCCAATTACTGGAGCTGTGATGCACCTCACTCTTATCAAAGGCCTAACTCAAGCAGACTTCAGATCACAGCCACGGCCTGTCGTGATCAGTCATTTCAGGAGCTCAGTAGAGCTGTGTTTTTGCATCTTATGAAGTTGGGATTTAGGCCTAACTACTTACAAGAGCCAACAACTAATTGGTGTACAGGAAGCCCTGTGTGATTGCACCGGTTCAGCGTCCAACAGACTTTCATCAGACACATCTCTTAAAGGGATCGTTCACCCAAAAATGAACATTGTCGTCATTTACTTGCCCTCATTTGTCCATACAGTTAAAGTCAGTGTGATCTGAAGGTTTCAAGCTCTCTGAAGGTAACAAATGTGATCCGAACAACTCCAATGCTTCTGAGGCGATATGATCACTTTGTATGATAACGGAGTGAAAATTAAACCTTTGTTTGCTTTTAAACCAAATCAAATTTGACCACATGTCCACAGGATTAAACCTCATTGGTTCTTAAATGTTGACGTCATGACTTTAAGCTTAAAAAGCAATGCTAATGTGAAAAAACTGAAACGCAACAGCCAAAGGTGTTTGTCGAACAGGCCTGTTCTTAGAGTTCAGTATTCAGTTTCTGTAAGTTAAAATACCATTCATTTACTAGAGGAATTGATTTTGAATTGACTAAGTAAGCTTTGAAAATGAATTGCAATAAATGTATTGATAAATGTACAGTTTTATTTCTCCTTTTTTTATATATATTATTTGATAAATGGGGTTGTAGTTTAATATTTTAACAAAGGTTAAAAAAATACTTCCAGAACCAAGACCACTCTATCGGTGCGATTGGAAACGAGATTAGAACACCTCTCTTAAAAAAATAAAATCAGTTGCATTGACGGCATGGTCTGAACAGATGCATTGATAGCTGTTCATTCAAATTAAAAGGTTAATTTGAATTCACGCACCAAACATTAGTTTTGATGTGAACAGGCCTTGAATGTGTACACAGACCAGTAGTTTTTGAAATGTGTAATTGAAGCTGATGGGCTTGTCAAAAATATCTCTAAATGCATCTCTTTTAAACATAAAATCTATTTAAGCTTAAAACCTATCTATTAAACATTCTAGTTCATCTTAAAGGTGATCCACACGGTGACCATGACCTCCGCTCATTCATTTTGTAATTAAATGTGGGCTTGTGAGTTTTTCATGCTCTCAAACTGAAGCAGAGTTCATTCATGTAGTGTGTGTGTGTGTGTGATTTAGCACTCAAGGCTTGTCTGTTTGTGTTCTGTTCCTCAGATGAAGCTCGTTCCAAAAAGTGTGGCATCTTGGTGCACTGCCTAGCGGGCATCAGTCGCTCGGTCACCGTCACAGTGGCGTACCTGATGCAGAAGCTCAACCTGTCGCTTAATGACGCCTACGACTTCGTCAAGCGCAAGAAGTCCAACATCTCGCCCAACTTCAACTTCATGGGGCAGCTTTTGGATTTCGAGAGGACACTGGGGCTCAACAGCCCCTGCGACAACCGCTCGATGCCCAACGACCAGCTCTTCTTCACCACGCCTACCAATCACAACATGTTCCAGCTGGACACGCTGGAGTCCACATGAAGGCCAGCAGAGGATGCTGGGTGGGAGCAGCCACCCTTTGAATGCTTGTCTCCCATCTCCAGGGGAGCTTTAGACCTGGAGGACAGGCCAGCAGCCGCGGCGAAGGGAGGGTGGTTAAGCACACGGGCCCCTCAAGCCCTCCGGTGGGTTTTAATGCAGCTTTTCTTGCCTTCATGGAACAGACTGTTCTTTTTTTGATACACGAGAAGAATCGCTAGACATTTGCACAGCACTTCAGAGAAGGAAGCTTTGACGGCCATGCGACGCCCTCAGCCTCCCCTCTCGAAGGGTGCCAACGTACCGTCTGGGATTTAGCTGTTCTGACCGGAGGAGAAATGTAGGCTTGGATTGTTTTTTTTTTTTCTCCGAGCAAAGACCGAAGTGGCATGACGGAGGCATTACCAGTACATGCAGTCTGTCTGTTTCTCTATCTGTTTCCTCACTCGGACGAAAGGCGCAGAACCATGTTGTCCAAAGTAGTGACGGAGTCGGTGACCGAACCCACACAAACATTGCGAGCCCTCCCCGTCTTTATTTTCTCTCTCTCCCGCTCTATGTTTGCAATGACCTAATGCGTTTTGCACAGTGGCTAAGCCTTTCACTTCTTGGCACTTAAAAGCGGTACTCCAACACGCACAGAAAGAGACATTCAGAGGTCCCACGGTGCTGCCAGTCCTAGGCTGTGACGCTCGGGACGACGCACGCACTTAAAGCTCATTGTTCCTTAACTGCAAACGACAGATCGACGTTTGTGTCCTAGCCAAGAGTCCCGACTTCTGGGCTCGCTCACCTTCTGGCCTTGGCGATTCTCATTACAGTATGAATGTATTGTATTAAGTTCTACGTAAGAGTATATCTATTCTCTCGATGTATTTGAGCATGCGATCTTCTGGAGGCGCGGCACGTCACCGAATGTTGAGGACTGTTTTTTTAACTACTCTTGCTGCTCTTGGGCGGCAAACAGTGTGTAGCGAGGGCATTCCTGACCACGGGAACGAGTGACTGGACCTGAGTGGACGAGTGCTTGAGTTAACAGGGTTGCTTTAAGCTGGCCTTATATAACCTTTTTAATTCTTTCCTACTCTGACTGTTCAATACTCTCTTTGTATCTCACTTTAGAAATCGTTGTATTATCAAGACCTTTGTTCATTTTTAAAGAAACAGATATGTAGTAGTAATAATAGACGACTAATGTTCTTTAACGGGTCAGTCAAGGTTGTATTTGTTACTCTGCAATATACTCAACAACCCTTTGCAGTATTTTCTAGAAAATGGCCTCGGGTTTTTGACTCCTCTACTTTTGATACTAGAGATCCACAGAGATATAGCTTGAAACGGAGGCAGCTTTTCACCCGGGGGGTCCGGAGCGCATCTCACGCTGGGTGCTGGGCGCTCGCTCGCATTTCATCCGATTCGATTTTCGTAATATACAATATATGTGCTATATACTGATTCCTGTGGCCTTTTCATATGTCTCAAAATATATATATATAATGTGTATGTATATGTAACATTAATCTTGTGCAGATATGCAACAGTCATCCTCTTAATAAATGTGTCCCTGCAGCACAAAAGCAGTGTTAAGTCGCTGGCGTATATTTGTAGCAATAGCCAAAAAAACATTGTATGGGTCAAAATTATAATTTTTTCTTTTATGCCAAAAATCATTAGGATATTAAGTAAAGATCATGTTCCATGAAGATATTTTGTAAATTTCGTACCGTAGATATATTAAAACTTTATTTATTATTATAACAAAGTAATATGCATTGCTAAGAGCTTCATTGGAACAACTTTAAAGATGATTTTCTCAATATTTAGATTTTTTTGCACCCTCAGATTCCAGATTTAATAATAGTTGTATCTCAGCCAAATATTGCCCTATCCTAACAAACCACATCAATGGAAAGATTTTTTATTTAGCTTTCAGATGATGTATAAATCTCAATTTCGAAAAATTGACCCTTATGACTGGTTTTGTGCTCCAGGGTCACATATATTGTCGCGGACGACTATTTCTCATGCTTGAAACGACCCGGACACAATAACATCACTGGGCTCTCGAGTCACCCCGGGACTGAAAGGCGCTTCACTTCACAGCTTCTATATTGACATGTACATCTTGATTTCGAGCTGCTTCTTGTAGAGGAATGTTTGTATCTGTAACCATGGGAAAGAGAAATCTTTCATGTTTTTCTCATTGCCGGAACACAGGAACAAGGCTTTCTGTGGATGTTTCTTGTAGCTACATAACGGTTCTGCGACTAATAACCGTAAGAGCGAGAGAGATCGACACACATGGCATGTCACCATATTCTCATTTGTTGAGATAGTGAATTGGTGGGTTTTTGTTAAATGTGAGCCAAAATCATCACAATTAAAAGAACCAAAGACTTAAACTACTTCAGTCTGTGTGCATTGAATTTATTTAATACACGAGTTTCACAATTTGAGTTGAATTACTGAAATAAATGAACTTTTCCACGACATTCTAATTTATTGAGATGCACCTGTATTTGTAAATGCATTATGTACTTTCTTGCATAGGACTGTTGAGAAATTCTAGCTTTCTTTAATAGTTGCTTGAACAAATAAATATGGAACCCTGGAGCACAAAACCAGTCATAAGGGTCAATTTTTTTAAATTGAGATTTATACATCATCGTTGAATTCTGAATTGTGCTTCTGATTACAGATAGCCTGGAATTACAAAGATTTGTATTTGAAAGAAAACCAGTTCGAATGGAGCATAGTTTGCTTTTTGGGTTAAAAGATTTTCTTGGTATGAAATTCGAATGGTATGACAATTAGAGATTAGACTGTGCAGAAATTGAAATCTACACACACACACACTGTACTTATAGTCACGCAATGCTAATGTTGTTAACAATAATCTGAGAATAAAGTATAACAATAATAATAATTTGCACGGTTTGATGTGGTATGAGCTAATAAATATTTAGATTAAATAGCAGTGGTAGCGTGATTTATTGTAATGCTTTTTCCCTCAGTTGGTCAAAACAAACGTGGCAGACTTGTTACTTACTTGTTCTGATGACAATATCCGGTGAAAATTCTTATTTTGGTCATATATTCCAAGACGTAGGCTAGAATCTGTGATTACTAAGTACAGTAATCACACCGGTGCAGTGACTGACTGCCACACATACTCCTCAAAATGTTAGATTCATCCACGCTGGAGCCGCGCCGACTCACAACCCACGCAAGCTAGATAATTCCACACACAGCTGCAATTCCAGGTTTTCAAACAGAGATGGCGACAAAGAGGCAACATGTACGGACTGCAGCTTTAATATCCTAATGATTTATGGCATAAAACAAAAATCAATAATTTTGACCCATACAATGTATTTTTGGCTATTGCTACAAATATACCTGTGCTACTTATGACTGCTTTTGTGCTTGTTGTACTTCTGGGTGTCTGTCTCAAGAACCGTCAGGTAATGGAGAATGTAAGACATATGCTAGGATATGAATGTGTTCAGCCTGTTATTTGGAGGTCACTGTGTAGGTGAAGGGCGAGAATGGAAAACTTTACCTGCCTAAACAAGTGTGAGCCTTGTGAAGCGTCTGGGATGCACACCTCGATTATGGTTGACAGGAGTGGAGGACAGATTCTTTGTAAGCCAGGTATGGGATGACTACAGGAAGAAGTCTAGCAGATGCTGTCTGTCCATGTGAAGATCTAAGCAAAGACTGCTCACATTTCTGGAGGTTAAAGGCGTTTAGATCTGGGCAGTCGCAGTAGGGTAGCTGTGACTGAGGAGAATCGGGACAAGGTGCAACAGATGCATAGTCCTTCATTTCCTCGTGTTCTAGAGCACGGATAGGCAATGTCAGTCCTGCAAAGTTTAGCTCCAACCCTAATCAAACACCTGAACAAGCTAATCAATGTCTTCAGGATTACTAAGGCTACAGGCAAGTGATTTTTTTTTCAGGGTTAGAGCTAAACTCTCCAGGACCAACATTGCCTGTCCCTGTTCTAGAGCAGGTGTTTCCGATCCTGCAGAGTTTAGATCCAACCTGCCCCGACACACATGTCTGAATGTCATCTAGTCATCCTGAAGACCTCAATTAGCTGTGTTTGCTTGGGGTTGGAGCTGAGCTCGACAGGACCGGACACTCCTGAACTAGAGGAAAAACTAACTGGAGCAGGTCCAGAAAGAAGAGCTCGACATCCAGGATGAGAACGTGAGAAACAACAACAACATGACTTACCACCAAAATAGCAAGAGTAACACCAAAGCTATTTCCAAGTGTGAGTGAGACCAATTAGTAATTTCAGTTCCAGTTTCTTTGCGCTGTGGTCATGCAGGATTCATTAAAGCTTGCTGCCCAGGATAAGGATGTGTTGACAAGAGCAGTAAGAAGATCTCTTGGGGGGGGGGGAAAGAATGGCTTAGTGAGTAACTGGTGTATTTTAGCATGCAAGACGGTCTTTGTGTTTGAGGTCAGATGGCTGTGACGAGACTGTTGGGTTGGGGTGCAGATCAGAAGACATGAAGAGACCTATTTTGGCTAACAGGCAAATATAAAGTCGGCTTCAATAACGCACTGAGGGGCCGTTCACACAATGCATTTTTTCCATTCTAATGCGCTAGTTTTCCATTGTTTTTCCATGTAAATATGTGCTAGATGGACTTACTATTTTGATGGCAACATGGCGGAGGCATTCTGCTTTGGTGTTTTTTTTTTCCAAAGTCATTTCTTGCGTTTTTAGACACAACAACATGTTCACTGACTGCAAAGTCCTCAACGACTATGAGATCCAAAGATCAAAGTTTGGACAGGATCTCCTTTTGGTCTGTAGTGCAGGGACGGGCAAACTCGGTCCTGGAGGGCCACTGTTCTAGTTTAGATCCAACCCTGAGAAAACTCACCTGCCTGCAGTCTTCTGAAGACACTGATTAGCTGGTTCAGCTATATTTGATCAGATCTGGAGCTAAACTCTGCAGGACAGTGGCCCTCCATGACTAAGTTTGCCCATGCCTGCTCTAGACACTTATTTAGCGGGTCTAGTGTCACGTGTCACAAGTTCGATGACGCAGGTAGTGGCGATTCTCTCCGGCCAATCAGTGATCAGCAGGGTTTACATGTAACATTTTGGTAATGGTACGGCTCACTTGGCACCTCAGCCGAGGTGGTACTGAAAAAAGTATCAGGTACCAGGGACTGTACACAGTGGAAAACCCCCCAAAAGCGAGCCGTGCCGTACCATGCAGTGGAAAAGCGCCATTCAATTTGATGTAAAGCCAAAGCTCCCCTGCTTTCTCCCAGCCATTCCGTCTTAAACGAGCATGTAGAGTATAGCCGCCTGCTGCTTCTCACTGTTTGATCAGTTCTGTTTTCTACATATGTTCTGTGCCACTTTCTTGTGTTGGCTCTGTGTGGTGGGCTGTCTTCTCTCTTGTTCAGAAGCTAAGTGTAAAGCTTTAGCTGACATGGTGTGCTTTCTGTTCATTATAAACTGTTGGCCTGTTCACTCCAGTGGAGTAGATGGACCTAATGTGCATTTATCAAGAGCAACCCGCTGGTAGAGGCTTATGCTCAGTTTCATTATACCTACACTTTCTTATTTTCAGGTGGGTGTATGAAAAATCCGCAATCAAGGCTGCCGCAATCACTGTAGCATTAGCAAAGACGTGCTTGCTTTGTACTACCAGCAATTAATGGCTGATGGGTTAGTAGGTGTGAGAGACGCTGGCTTGTTAAACAACTTACTACGATGACACCTTCACACAATCTCATTCACACCACACTAATAAGCCAAAGGAACGCATGGCTAATTAAAGCCAAACGGATATTGTGCTTAAAACATAATTCAAGTAGGGTGCAAAAATAACTACTTAACGAGGAAAAACACTGAAGTTGAAACTGTGCAACAAGAGGTACACAAAGGTTAATTAACTGAGGATAGGTTTGTAAATGTGTGAGAGTCATGAACTGAGCTGTTTAACTTCAGACATGCAGCAACAACTACAATCTGCTGCTGACTTCAGCTGACACCCTCAAACTAGGAACTGCTAAAGGTCAGTGAAACTTATCACGCGTCCTGACTGAGACCTGTCTCTTTGTTCAAAGCTCTTTGTTTCTTGTTCCTCAGAAGCAGAAAGGAATGAATCCCACGCAAACATAGAAACCTGGAATTAGTCCAGATCTGCTTGGCACGATGCAGGATTCTGGAGCCTATATAGACTCTGTGAGTCATTCTATGAGAATCAATTTAACGTGGGATCTGATGTCGACACTGGAGATGATTTTCAGAGCACTTTTGGTATTCATGATGCTGAAATATTTGTCACTGGATTTGCATAACAATGTAACAAACTAGCACATGGGGAGCATCATTTAATTCCCATCCTGCAGTATGGATATTGTCAGATGACGTCTCTAATGAAGAATGTGCATGACTGAAAACCATACACTGTATAAAACATGGATGTAGAGTCCGTGACGTCACCCGTAGGTCTCTGAAGAGCATTTTTGATGCTATATGCTACTTTCTTTACACAGTTTATGGTTTCAGCATACAGCTAATCCCAGTCTATCGGATTCTGGAGTGTAGTAAAGTTTTAAATAAAATGTATAATAATTT